AGAGAAACAATGCAAAAGTACAAGACGTACACTATGAGTTTCCATACCAAAATCTTTTAACAATGTATTATGTATTGTAATCATATAATCAGCAAGAGTTTCAGACCATGTTGTAAATRCGCCTTTTTTCTCTCTTAAAAATATGAATTAATATAAACAACATATTATKAATCATAATTATGAAAATGAACCATTTACCTATATTGAGCTTGAGCAAAAAAAATTTTTGCTCCATTAAAAATAGATGTGATCGCAGTTATAATAGTTGCGCGTACTCTAGAAGAAGGTTCTCGTACTGAATTTCCTACTTCAGAAATCAAACAATTTTGAATGTTCATTGGACCATCAACAATTGTGTACAAATACCCTAACAACATTTTTTTCTCAACTATCTGAAAACAAGTTGTGTATAACTAAAAATTTATTTTTATAATTTAATAGATAAACAAACATTTAAAACTTACGGTAAACATTTTCTTCATTATTTGTGCAGCCAACAACCGTATATCTAATGTTAAATGTCCAATCACATTAGATGTACATGGTTCATCTTCAGAAAAATCTGAATCCCTTACATTCATCAACACTTCATCGTCTACTGAAATAGTAACAAATTTTGGTACTTTATTTTTGGATTCTATAATTCTTTTTTTTTTTTGACGTCGTTTATTTGTCATATTAATCTAGAAACAAGAATTTTTACTCTCTAGAATCATTTTATCGCGCTGTAATAACTCGATTTTAAAAATATTTTAAACTGAATTCACCGTAGGTACTATATCTAGTCTTGATGGATTTTCCCATTGAACGATAGGAGAGGGTTGCAAATTGTTAARAAATTTTGATTGATTAAAAACCAAACCATACCTTAAATATATCAAAACAGTTGGTAACAATTTGTTAAAATTATCATTAGTCCATTGTTTAGACTGATCGATAAGTTGTGACAAAATTTGTAGTCCATATTTCAAAACCTAAAATTATTATAATTATAATTCAAGTTTTTTTTTCATTCTTAATGTAGAGAAATATTAAAATTATTTATTATTGTTATATAACTTACTTCTTCGCAATGTGATTGCATATAATTTTTTTGATTTATTGACTGTTCCATAAATTTAATTATGTTAATTCCAACAGTATTGATATAATCATAATCTTTTATAATAATCACGGTTGCTTCAAGAAATTTAATATATGTTAGTATTTCAATATTTGTCTGTGGATCCTCAGATTTGTTTTCAATTTTTTTTAATAATTGAAGTAATAAATCCATTACATTAGAAATGATCTATAATAGGTATTTTGTTTATAACAATTTACAATTTTAATAGAATCAAAATAGTTTTARTAAAACTTTAGATTATTTTTCTTAAATAGAACAACAAAAATAATGTCTTACTGTATTATTGCTAATGTTTAAGTTTCTAAATGTTTGAATACTACAAACATAAAAATTAAGAATTTCATTAATTTTTTCTGAATACTGAGCACCGGTTTTAAAATGGAAAATACACGATAGTGTCCAAGAAATTGTATTTTTTAAAAGATTTTCTTCACTAATGCTGAGTTTTGGTAATACATTACTCAACAGTTTACAGCATTTAACTACTAGATTGGTATCTTTAGGACTAATCTCTAGGCATACTTGAAATAAACATAGAATGTCATCCTGTAACAAAAAAAAAATTCATAAAATATGTATTATAGTAGAGTGCATCATTTTAAGTTATTAACATATAGGAGCAGACATTATCCACATTTAAAATATTAATGACTTATCTCAATGACCAATTTTGTCATAGGTGCCTCTCCTTTTTGTTATTTTTARACCATTTAACAAAAAATGTTCAGAGGTCTATTTTGACCAAACCTTATACACACTAAAGGCACTGMAATTAGTTTTGTATTTTAAAAAWTTAATTCAAATTATTGTATGAGCATTGACAGGGGAGAGGGGCTTGACTTAAAAGTGAGTAGCATCCCCAGTTTTAAAATCAGCGTTCTCTAAATGTATGCACTTCTAGTTATTTAATTTAAATTAGGCTACTGGGTTTAAGTAAATATTTTTACAATGAGCTTAATAGAGGGGAATAAATATAATAAGTAAATAATATATTGATAGAAACTTTGAACTTTTTCATTTTTTTTTTTTTTATATACAGTACAGTAATAAAGCCAGGGTAACTGCTAGGAATATATCCTATGAATATTTAAAAATGCTTTCAATGGTCTGTGAATGATTTATAAATAAGACATTAACAAGTATTRCAATTTTAATTTTAATGAAGATTAGTGCAAAAGCCTAAACTGACATACTTAATATATGTGAGAGTGGAAAAGGTACTACCTAGTTAAACTCTCTCTATATAACAAATTATTAGCCACTTCTAAGTCCCTACACAAACCAAAATCCTGGCCACAACATTGATAAATAAGGTAAATACTAATAATTATTGAGTACCTGTTGAATAAATGTTTGATTATTATTTTTTATTTTTTCATACTAAACACAACCAATTTAAGTATTTGTATAATTTATTAAATAATGTATTATGTATATTTGARTATTACTTGATTTTTCATCCATTGGGGCTTAAACACATTTCTAACTTTGTCCAAGCAAGTTCCCACATAAGTTTCATTAGGTGTTTGTTGGTGATCTGCAATGGCTATCGCCAAAGTCGTCACCGAGTCTTTTATAA